GAAATTGATCATATGGGTAAAAAAGATTGAACCAAAATAATTTGTTAACAATAAAATTGTTTAAAGTTTTCAGGAAGATGTTAGCAGGGGTGGAATTTTCTTGAACCGAAAACCAACCAAACCGGCCGACTTATTTACCGACTTTCAGTTACCTACATATTTCGGTTCTGTTTGATATAACTGATGGTTCAGATTTATTCGTTTTATTATTTTTCCGATTCATTCGTTCTATTATTTTTGTAAAAGTAAACATGCCCTCAAAGGAACGATTCTACAATTAAACAAATCAAACAAATTTAATTTCATGGCGTGGTGTGGCAGTGGCAGTGTGGCACACCAGTGACCAGTCCACCAACAATGGTCGGGCAGATTTAGTATGTGGTGCCAAATAGAAATAGATGCAGAGCGAAGCCGTTGCTCCAAAAGGTATCACAACACAACTACTTACTCAAGTGGTGATGAATCCACCAAAAGTTTATAGAGAAAAAAAGGGCATAAATAAAGCAAAGGCCAAAATTAGGAGGGCACAAAAGGGGAAGCTATGTTTGAATGGCGGTCGCATATTGGATGGTGGTGGGGAGGAGCAGAAGGAGATCGATGGTTGATAATATTGGGTGGTGAATTGGTGATTGGGATGGAGGAGTGGGTGACAGACCCACGTGACTGACCCACCACCACCACTATCACCACCACTGCACTCCCTCCCTCCCTCCCTCTCTCTGTCTCTCACTCTCTCACTCTCTCAGGATTACTGAAGGCCAAGTGGATGTCTTGGTTGGCTTCACATCAACGCTAACAGCCAAAACAATCCAACCACAACAATAAAACAAACATGCCCACAATCACATAACTCCACCCCCAAAAGTGAAAAGGAAAAGTTTACAGGTTCCATCATTAACTAATTTGACTAAAGTGATCCGTTTTACTTGGTTGCCCACTTACATTCAGCCTTTCCCCTTCTTTCCCTTCCCTTTCTCCTCATCTCCCTCTAATGTTAGTCAGCACTGGCTTTTTCTCTCTCTTTATATATGTAAGATTCGAACGCAAGATCTTAGATACAATTACCGATCTTAACTACATAAAGTTATTTTTGTGTATGTATCAGACGGTGATTAACAGTTAAAGAGAAATGACTCTTTATAAGAGGCCATCTATATTCGAAAATTTTACGTGCATAAATAAACGCTCTTATCTACTTGTGCTATATGTTCTCACCCCTTTCTCTCTCTTACTTTTTATTGGCTATTTCTTTTTCTCTCTAACATGCTAGTGGTTCTCCTTTCCTTTTACCATTCCTTGAGCTGAAACTTGTTTGATGGGAGGAAGATGTTAGCAGCTTACACAAAAGGGTAAAATTTGTACAAGCATTTGGGGAGAGAGAGAGAGAGAGAGAGAAAGAAAGAGAGAGGGGGAGAGAGAGAGATGGACAACGAAACAAACCAAGAAAGCACATCTCTACTCCCAAACAATTACACCACCACAACCACCAAGGAATTAGAGTCTCCTCCGAGATCAAAACCTGCTCAACAGCCTCCTCTCGGCGGCAGCGGCAGTGACAGGCTAAAAAGAGATGAGTGGAGTGAAGGGGCAGTTTCTACCCTCCTTGAAGCCTATGAGACCAAATGGGCTCTCAGAAACAGAGCCAAACTCAAAGGCCATGACTGGGAAGATGTGGCGACACACGTATCATCACGCGCCAACTGTACCAAGGCTCCCAAGACCCAGACTCAGTGCAAGAACAAGATTGAGTCCATGAAGAAACGGTACCGTTCTGAATCCGCCACTGCTGATGGGTCATCCTGGCCTCTGTATCCTAGGCTTGATCTTTTGTTACGTGGCAGTGGACCATCCCCAACAGCAGCAGCGGCAGCTGCTGCCGCTGCTGCTGCAACTGTTCCTCCCTCGCTGCAGCCACCACTACCACTGCATCCCCCACTCCCTCAGAACAATCATCCTCTGATGCTATTGGAGCCATCGGGTCCAGCGCCACTACCGCCGCCGCCACCACTTCCTGCTCCTCCTCCACTTATGGGGACTGCCCAGAATTCCTTTGGATCCAATGGTGTTGATCATAGGGTGGCCAAGGTCAGTCTACATGGCACCCCCTCCCCTGTTTTTTTTATTTTTTATGTTTTTATTTTTTAAAATTTTGTTCTTGTTTTTAGCCATTTCCCTTTAATTATATTTTGATAATTTGATTTTTCACTTATTTCTCAGATTAGATAAATAAACAGGCCTTATTTCTTGAGGTTATTGTTTTTTAGCATTCAAATTTTGTTGAAGACGATTGTGTTTTCAATTTTTTAGTACTCGTATATTAAGATATTAGAACCAAATATATCCCACAATAATGCCACCGGCCCATAGGAATCATATAATTGCATATTTTCTAAAGGGTAGTGGAAATTGAACTCTGTTTGGGGCAGCATACTGCTCTGACCAACTGATATAACCAATATTTGCATTCAAATAATGTAAAAGATAGATTGTAAAATGTAAGTCTCACTGAATTAATTTAACCTGCAGGAAGATGGAGGGGGGATGAAATTATCAGATCATGCATCAGACAAGAACCCTTTGGAGGTAGACAGTAGCACACCAGCTCTCTATAGTGACAAGGAAAAACTAAGGTCCAGGAGAATGAAGAGAAAAATCGAGAAAAAGAAGCGGCGGAGGCGGGAGGAAGTAGAGGTAGCAGAGAGCATAAGATGGTTAGCAGAAGTTGTGGTAAGATCAGAGCAAGCAAGAATGGATACAATGAGGGAGATAGAGAGGATGAGAGCCGAGGCAGAGGCGAAGCGAGGAGAAATGGATCTCAAGCGCACCGAAATTATTGCGAACACGCAGTTGGAGATTGCAAGGCTGTTTGCAGCAGCAGGTGTTGGCAAAGGGGTTGATTCTTCATTGAGAATTGGAAGAAGTTAACTGAGGAAAAGTGTTGAAACTTTGAGAGTATGATATAAATATATATATGTATGTACAGAATTTATGTAGCATTGGATATTGAGAGAGAAGAAAGGAGAGCTTTCGGAAGCAAAAGTGAGGGAGAGTCGACTGATTAACATGTAATATAATCCGAATGAAGTAGTTATTGTCGTACAATAACATATCTTACCTCAATTGTAATCTACACGTTCTCTCTTTCAGCCAGTAATATCAGTGCTTAGACCTAGAAGGTTACATTGCATCGGTTACTTGCTGTTTGCCAAACACATGCTCGTTATCTAACATTGTTGTTTCCATTGCATGTGATCTAGTATCTTAGTGAATAAGTTGTTGAGTTTCCAACCATGCGTCCAGGATTCGAAACTCTCCTTTCTCCTAAGTATTGTTGTTTCCATAAGTCATCACGATCTCTAGTGTAAGTGTTCAAGATGGGGGATCTCACAGGTTTGAGGAGAAGCTAACAAGCTAAGGGGTTCGGAATGTTGTGATCTATTTTTTACAATTGCGCGACATATTTGATAAGTTGAGTGAATTATTTAATGCCTTCAATGGATTGGGAAATGGAAAATCCACCGAACAAGTTCACTGACCACGATCAACTTCATAAGTAGACAGATAGTATGCTAAATGTGATATAAACATCAAAAGATAGTAAAACGTAACAAGAAAGATCTTTCTCATGATTCATCAACGAAATGAATCAGTGATATGTCATTGTTTTTGAAGTGATGTAGGCTGGGATTATAAATATGAAAGTTGGTAGTGTTATTCTGATATAATTAATTGTCTACCCAAGAACACTAACTAAACAAAGGAAAAAAAAAATGGAAAGTAGGTATAACAACCTAGCTATAGGAACTAATTAGTTCCTAATATAGTGACAGTCTATTCTCGAAGTTAAAAGAGTTTTCAGTTGAATGCCTTTTTTTGGTTGATAAATAGACAGAAAATAATACGTATCTATTTATGGGAAGTGATTTTCACCCATTATTTTTAGCTTCTAACGCATCTTTGTTTAATCTTGACTATTGATTTCGCGTTATTTGTTCAATCTGATGGCTTTAGATTAAGAGGGATGTGTGAGAAACTAAAAATGGTGTGTAAAAATCACTTCCTAACTTATTTGGAATGAAAACTAGAGTGATTCCAAATCCCTATATATTATTTTGATTCATGACTTTTTAATCGTTTGTTATCACACATGGAATTAAAACAGTTGTGACCCATAGCAAACAAGACTACAAGGTTTAGTCATCATCCTCGGTCTATGATTGGAGTCGGTGGCAACCTCTCGTCCACCCTTTGAGCTTGTCTCGGGTCTAGGTTTTATGCCTCTTTCCTCCCCAAATGTTATGACAGTAGTGTCATGTGTTCTTTGCATTCGCTTTTATGTTTTGGATGCACTTTTATTGATTCTTGTGGACTGTTTTTCTCTCTGGACTTATTCTTCTTTCTGTTAGCATTTTATATTAATGAAACTTATTATGATTGACAAAAAATATTAAATCGGTAATTCAGCTTGAAAAATCAGGATTCAAATTAATGGAAAGTAAACATTTTATGTAAGTAATTACAGTCTTATTCTCCTGGATCCCATGGTCCAAGTAAATAGTGGTAGCTTCAACAGTTAGTGGTCATTTAGTTTTTGTCTGTACTATTTTATCTATCGAAAAAGTAAATCGAATAATAGATAACCATGAATTTACTGAATCAAGGGGTCTTAGACCTAATTTAGTATTCTTAAAGTACAACAGAAACAATTTATTAAAAAAATATAGCAATCCTAAACTGGCCCTTAGAGAAGGAGAGTTGAACTAAACGTAATGGTAGGATTTTTACCCTCCACTCCAAACTTAAATCACATAACTTTCCAATTTCAAGTAAACATCACATAGGAGTTGAATTTACAAATCGTCTTATGGACTGTACAAATGGGCTTTTGTATGGGCTCCGTTAACGAAATAGACTTCACACCACTCCAACCCAAATGGGCCCAGTAACCGCATCTAAACGTGTTTGTCTGCTGGGATTTATTGATTTCGTTTCGGATTTTGGATTACAGTCGAGTCATATAGTGTAGAACGGATTACTCTTTGAGCTCTGTAGAAAAAAAATGGCTCTCTTCCAAACACAAACACCTCCTCCTATCTACAGCCATGGCTTTAGCTTCAAAACCCACAGCTACTCTCCCGTGGCCTTACCATATCATCTCCCACCGCCTTCCCTCCCTCTTTCTGTCTCCTCCATGAAAACCCACCACCAAAGCTCACTCGTTTCTCCCTCAACAGTGAAAAGAAAGTTGCTTTGCAGCCCCCCTCATGGTAAACATGTCAGAGAAGATTATCTTGTGGTAAGTTATTCCTGCAAATGCTTGTTTACTTTAGCATTTTAATTACCCATTACAAGTCGGTTATTTTTTTCTTCAATTCATGAGTTTTTCCTACTTAAAAGTGGTATTGGTTTGATGGGTTGGTTTGTATTTCCAAATTATTTATCTTTTTGGTGAGAAAAATGCAGTAAAATGAAGAATTAGGACGTTTGAATTTAGTTTCAGGGCTTTACTTCTGTTTGGGAAATGGGAAAGTATGGAAATTTTCTTTTCATTAGGCTTTGTTTGAAAACCAAGTTGGGGTTTGGAGTTTTATTTAATTTCCTTCCTTCATACGTCCGGAATTATAAATTTGAGCTTAATTAATTCTTGTATGGGAGGGCAGAAGAAGGTGTCGGCCCAGGAGGTCCAGGAACTGGTAAAAGGAGACAGAGATGTACCCATTATTGTTGATTTCTTTGCAACATGGTGTGGACCCTGTATATTGATGGCTCAAGAACTTGAAATGGTATGCTGTGGTGCTTTGTATTAAAATTTCAGATATTAGTTAAATTCCAAAAATTTGTACTTTGATATCGATATCATACAGTTTGTTGGAGGATTTCTATTATGCTGAACTGAAATATGAAGCTTTCGAGCACTTCCTTCCTAATCTTTTGTGTCTGTTGTGGTGATTGAAAACATTTTACGCGGAATGTGATTGCATACTGTGCAACGTGTATGTATCTTTATCAAACACGCACAAAATTTGGTAAGATGAGGAGGAAGTAATGAACAATTAGATCCAGCATTAAATCACTCCCTCGTATGTTTTAGTTTTGATTGTAGAAAGAGATGATTTAGCAACCCTTTTTTACTTTTCGTAGACTAGGATTCTCCTCATGAAATGAACCGGAGGATTATTCACCGTTTTCTATGATTATTCAGTATGGTTATAGGGATTGGTTATTCGCCGTTTTCTATGATTCTCACATTTAGTTTCTTTTGGGATACAAACATGGTAAAGTTTCAGTGCCATTTGACTATCGTGGACCTAATTGCCGTCTGTTGGTTTGATTAACAGACCACTGGAAACCAAAATGCTTTCACAACTGAAGTTACTCTTCTATTTTGTTGATAGTTTGATTTGCGGTTTAAATATTTTTGGTTGATGTAGAGTACTCCACCTTGTATCTAAATTTGTTAATTTTCTCTAATTTGTTATATTCACTTAAGTTGCAGTTTTATAGAGGGTTGTAAAAGTTTCATACAGCAAGTCTATATAATATAAGCACCTGACAAATGATGATTTCCGAGATTTGCAAACATAGAAGTAACGTTGAAAACGTTTAATTTCCATAACAGCTCGCTGTAGAGTATGAGAGCAATGTACGAATTATAAAGGTTGATACAGATGATGAGTACGAATTTGCACGCGACATGCAGGTAATTGTTTTTCTTCCGTGCTTTGAAGCCATCCTTGTTGCCCTGAAATTTCTTTATGTAATTTTTGGCATCTAATAATCTTTATGAGCCTTACAAATTTATGCATCTGTAGCTAGATTTGCTCGTAGAAAGATAGTTCTACATCGTACGAGATTTTGTGTTAGTCTCAGTGATAAGTATTGTGGATAAACTGGGTGGAATTTTCTTATTATCTATGCTTGAATGACATCTATGTTTGAAAGCAACGAATTAATTTAGTGGCAAATAACTGAAAAAAGAATGCTTCATTTTGAATCAGGTACGAGGATTGCCGACATTGTTATTTATCAGTCCAGATTCGAGTAAAGATGCCATCCGGACTGAAGGGCTCATCCCGTTGCAGATGATGCGGGATATCATTGATAACGAACTGTGAAGGAGTACGTGATTTCTTGCTACATAAATGTGGGGGGCATGCTCTCGTTTTGTAATGGTACAAGCATTACCATCACTGTTTGAGTTTTGTTATGTCCTAATTAATTTACCGACTGATGTATCGCCTTGGAGTGAACAGTTTTGTAGCCATAAGATAGCGAGTAGATGTGGTCGTTGTAGGCATGTTTAAATGTAAGGATGCGTGTCCGTCACACATCCTCGCACAGTTAGAGGTGCAGGGATGTTTTGTGATGGTACGAGAATTACCGTTCTTACTATTGTTTAGTGATCGTACCTAAACCCTAAACCTATAAGATAATAAGACTTTGCCTCTTTTTATTAGGCTGCAAGTTCATGGTAGTCACCAAACCAGCAGTTTGCAAGTGTTATTAAAGTTAAATGGATTTGGTTTGATTAATTAGTGCCTTGCTGCATATCGCAAATTTGTTAAAATAGATTTTGTGGAGGCAAAAGGCAAAGGTTAGGCTTTTTAGTCAAAATAGTCTCTGAGATTTGCATTACTCATTATTTTGGTCTTTGAGATTTAAAATCAATAAAAGTGATCCTTGAGTTTGTCTATTATTAATCATTTTGATCATTTTTTGAAAAATTATGTTAAATAAGGATCAAATGACAAAAATACTTTCAATTTAATAAACAACGGGCCAAAATGATTAGACAAAAATTGAGGGTATTTTTGTCATTTTATTCTTATTTAATGGAGATTTTTCAAGGAAGGACCAAAATGATTGATGGTGGACAAATTCAGACACCGCTTCTACTGATTTCAAATATAAGGGACCATATTGGATAAAAAGCCCAAAGATCATGGGGGTCAAGGAAGAAAGTGGGAGATGGCCCTAATTGTAAAAGAGATTTTTTTCACTGTCGAAAACACAATTTGGTATATCAAGTGTCATAATACAAGTGGTTAAATACTTGAAGAAAAAAAAAAAATTCAACCACTTATATTTTGACACAATGTATACCATATTTTCAGCATATTGAAAAATATCTCCAATTGAACAAGATGAAGGATTAATTGAAATTAAATTATTAGATTTCACAAGAATCTTGAAATTGATATAAGCTTAATTTTTTAGCTGCGCCTTTTAAAACTCCATTTTAATTTTATTTTGCCAATTGTAACTCAAAAGTTATCACTTTGCTCCCTGAAAACTTAAAATTCGTTTCACTTTGACTTGTGGACTCTCACTTATCCCTAAAACTTAAGGGTCCAACATGTTTATGAGTTAATATTAAAACAATCAAACGATATTAAATTTAAAAGAAATTAAAGAGATTAAAAAAATAAAAAATAAATTGATTAGTCTAATGCATCCAAATCAAATTCACATAAGAAATTAATAAACCAAGCAATGTGTAGTAAATTTTGAGTTTCATAAAGATGACTTTCAAGTTTGAAGGAGCAAAATGAGATCAAAATTGAGTTTTAATGGAGGCAAAGTAAAGCGAACCTTAAGTTTCAAGAAGTAAAATGATGACTTTTGAGTTATAGAGAGCAAAATAAAGTTAAAATGAAGTAATAGCTAAAAATAAGTCATTAATATATTTGAAGGTTTGGATTGGCATGATTAGAATAAGGTCGACCACGGGGTGGTTACTGGTTGGAGACACCCTTTAAAGAAGATATATATGACAGCTAAATCCTATGTCTTTCTAGTCCGTCTTCCTTTTCCCTTGTCGCCAAAAGTCACAGGCTGCTGCACTCAATTTCTCCAGTTAACTAACGCAGGAAGAGAAAATGAGCATGTGAAAATCATTGTTATGTTTAATGTGTAGACTGTATGATGCCTCTTTGGAAATATATATCCCAACTGATGAATAGATATCCCGACTTTTCATCTGTCGGCTATAAGGCGGTTGTTAGGGCTGGGAATTCTAAGAGGGTGTGGTCAAATAATAAGGATTTGAAAGGATTTTAAAATACTTTTTTTTAAAGTGATAGATTTGATAGGATGGTAGAATTCTTACAACATTCGAAAGGATTTTTCAAGGATTATTATAGATTTTTATTAGCGATTTGAATGGAGTTTGAGAGATTTTATTGTCATTTAAAAAATTATTTTTTAAATAGAAAATAAGATTAAAATAAAAAATTTATTAAAAAAAAAAAGAAAAGAAGGTGATGTCGGAGCATCTTCCTGATTCTCGTGGACCTTACAAATTCATTTGAAGCAGCACGATGGTTGGGACAGAAGAAATGAGGAGCAAAGGAATGAGGGTGCTATCACAAGACTTTTTACTGATGCATCATCTCTTAAGAGGGAGGACCAACCAAGAATGTTTGTAGCAGAGAATGATTGATATCCTCAGTGAGAGAGAAACAGAAAGAGAGTGGGGGTTGAAATAGCAGTTTAACCGGCAAAATAGCTGAGTAACTACTGCATTTCCCAGTCTATTGTGGTTAACTGATAGGGATAAAAGGTGATGCTGGCGAAGATTGAATATACAATAGGAGAAGAGGGACGAGGGGATGAGAGGACATGGGTCGGACAAAGTTGATGTGAGAGAGAGTAGCTGCTTGAAATGAAAACCTAAGGGTGAAGATAGGATTCTTTATAGTCTTTTTTATGCGTATCGATACTATCAAATTCTACATAAAATCTTTGTTCAGTGAAAATGTCAGAAATTGAGAAGAGTATGTGTCGAAGATTTAAAAAAAAAAAAAACCGTTATATGGATAGCAGTGCACCACCCAAACAAAATGTATCACTAAATTATAATTGTGCCAAACAAGCAAGAAGCGTACAGCTATCTCATAGCTAGCAGTCGATGCAGTCGATATAATCTAAATCTATTAGCTAACAATATTTACATAGAATTAGAAATGACGACGTGTCCGGCCTCCGGACCGGCCGGCGAGAAGGCGAGAAACACGAGAGCAGCCATTATGCCAACCGGAAATAACAAGAGCATCAATGGAGGAGGAGGCAGCGGCGGTAGTATCAACGGAAGAACCCCCAAGAACAACGCCAGGCACGCCAGCACCAGAGCGGACCCCAAGCTCAAACACTGCACCATGATATCAACGACGTCGTCAGACTTCCGACGACCATGTCTGTCCTCAATCGGCACCTCACCAACGAAAATGCCTGAATGCAGCCTCCAGCAAACGACAAGTGCACCGGAAATTTTTATGAATACCGAGAACACAAATACTCCAACTTCAAGAGAAAGGCAATGAAGGAATGAAGGCCTTGACACGTGACGGCTTCTATATAGGGATTTGGATCCTCTCCTGTGCCCAAGGATAGGATTCTCCAAACCAAGACACGGAGACCGTTAGATTTTTATCCAACGGTTATAAACAGAAGATCTCTTTAAAGTTATAATAATTATAATTGTTAGATGAAAATCCAATGGTCCACGTGTCTTGGTCAGGAGGATCCTTTTCTTGAGCTCAGAAGAGGATTCAAACCCTCTATATATAGGATGGTATACGTGTAGGAGTGGCTATCTGGTGGATGAGCTTGTGAGGAGTTGTGATGAGGCTGATGTAATGAGAGCCGTTGATTTGGGGAACTATAAAAGTAATGTGAGGAACCAGGGAGTGGATTGTTGTTTGGTTGATTGTAAGAAAAATCCTGTTTGGGGTGATGGTCCGAATCGGGGAGAATCAGAGCTTCAGATACCAAGATATTCGGCTGATACGTTCAGCACTTTTACTGCAAATTTTAATACTTTAATTGTTGGGTTAGATCATAGGTGTCATTCTCATGTTTTATTTGTCTTTTTAAGTACACTATTTTACTTGTCATTAAAACCTACGATCTTGTAATATTTTGATGAGCTTGTAAATGAAAAGTTTTAGATTTGAATCTTGTTAGTAATTGTTTCGATACTAATTTATTCATCAATCTCATTAATGTAAATATATTGTATATAAAAAAAAAATACAATTCTACTTCAGTGTTTTTTTATTTAGGGCAATTACTTTTACTCTTGATTATTTTTTTTTTAATTTCATTTTACACGAAAATGAGTGAAAGTTGATACTCTTAAATTTATACCTCTTCGAACAAAGCAAAAACTTAAATGTTAACACATGATTTATATTTTGGTTAGCTCTATCCTTATATTGTATTAAGTTGGATGCTAATAAACGCTTATAGCTAAGTTGGTTAAGACTATTCTTCTTTACACTTGAGGCCTCAAGTTTGAATTCATCATCCTGCAATATCGCTTGCATCAAAAGAAAAGGTTACATATCTAAATGCATTTTGAGAACTTCTAAATTTTATATTTAGATATATTTTGCTTGAAATTTCAATAAAATTACCAAACCCTATAGATGTACAATATGAATGAGACTATTCCAGAAATGGTAAACTACGATTCTCTAGTCACGACAACTCATGTAAGACGCAAGTACATTTTAGTGTATGGCTGCGAAATTGTTCACTCATAACAAATTGCTACAACTCAAATGTGAAAAATCTTTTCTTTTAGAACAATTGTCCGACCCAAAAAGTTCGACTACACAATAGTTGGTCAAAATTTTGGACTTTGAATACGTGTCAAACGTGACAAAAAATGTTCATGACTTCGATCTGAACTTTAGGCATCTTATGTCCAATATTTATATGTATATGATGATCTTTTTTGGTAATTAAAAATAGGGTAAAGTTTTGTTCAATACCTAAAGTGATAGTAGTACTTACCATCATATTTATTATCATTAAATGAGTTTATGTTTAGAGATCTGTGTCTATCTATCAAACAAACTTCGAAACTCAAACTCATCAAATAGTGATAACATATATTCTTATTTGGTTTTTTAAGTATTGCTGAAGTAATATTGAAAGAGAAAACTTTTATCTAATGCTTCACACTTAATGCATATTCTCTCGTGCTTAAATCACTAACAATGCAGAAGAGATTTAACGAAACGCAAGAGTGAATGTCTGATGACCACAAGTTATAGCTCGTGCGTCTAAAAAAAATAACGACAGAAAGACGTGCATATATATATATTTGGTATTTGGTATAAATTAAAATCTATATCCCATATGCATGCACGATAAGATTGATGATGACCCTGGAAAGATTGACGTTTTCCCGGAGTCCAAGAATGCTTGCCTCCACACGGCCATTTCTTGTCCCAGCAATGGTCGTGTGGGACTGAAATCGCAAGTTCCCATTTTGGCACAGTTGAGTTGGGTTGCGTCTCAGTTCAATGGATGAACACCAATGCAGCGTCAACGCACGACTTTTTTCATTCCAAACATGATCATTGTCTTGCACAAATAAGTCCGATCGAACAATTATGCCAATGTTGACTGTTAAGTTAATATAAAAAAATATTATGGCATGATAAT